TTTTTTCTTTCATCTCTCACTTTTTCTTTCTTTTTTTCTTTCTTTCTTCCTTTCTTTCTCTTTCTCTCTCTGTGTGAGTCTGTCTGTCTGTGTGTGTGTGTGTCAGTGGTGGGTTTCAAAATTTCTTGGAACCTCTGTAGGTGTGGCCTGCTTTCTGGTGGAACCTCTTCTAACCCGTTCAGTAGATTTGACGAACCGGTTCTATCCAACTGGTGCAAACTGGCAGGAACCCACCTCTGCCATTTATAAAATGCAATGTATAGCTTCACATTTATCTTGCGAGATGTGGACATCAAACGTGCATGCCTGACCACGAGAGATTAATACATTATACCTCCTAAGCAGCCCCTTAGGCTTCTGTTATGCTGTTTGAATCTGCTTTCTTGTGCATCAGATTGTGGTAACGATGGGAGCATCAGATTGTCATTTCACTGACCTTGAAATTTTTACATAAGGTTGCTATGAGGATCCTCAAAGCCATAGTTTGTTTACCAAAAAGTAGGATCCAAATCAAAGTCTCATGATTACTGAGAATAAACCACATAGTGTCCTTTGAATCAGCAGAGCAGAACTATGTAACTATGTTCTTGGCCCACCTTAAAACCTCACCTTTCACGTGAATCTGGTCTTCCATGGCTATTTCTGCTTTGGCTACTGGGGAGAATAGAATAATCCTTGGCAACCCAGAGGTTTGGCTTTGGTTGCTCAGGAAGAATAATGAGCTCATGGAAGAGCTCCCATGAAGTCAATATTTACATTTCTACGCAATAATGACCAATTCCACCATTGGTCCAGGTTCTGGTCTCCATGTTTGCATCCTTCCTACTTCCTCCTAGTAATAGAGCAGCTGCTGTTGTCACTACTGTATGTCACAACGCAGCCCATAAAGGCAGAGTTGCTTGTCAGATTCTAGGTAGCCCATTGCCTACTGTTGACCAGGTATCGCAAGTTGCCAGCTGTGGCTCCAGGACCAGAAAAGAATGGAATGGTAGCAGCGGTATTTGCAGTACAATAGTGCCAATTACATGGGTAGTGGAAAGGCAGTTCATCCAGATAGCCTTACTGAGAGTCCCAGTGCCTACCTAGCCACATAGAATAGCTGCCCAACCTGACCTTCTTATGTGATAAGAAGAACCTGGGGAGAGAACAGGAGACTATAGGAGTTTTGAGGCTGACCTCTTTCTTTTATTGATGAAGCTCAGTTGTGCCTCTTTTACTACTCTGGATCCAGAGGTGGTATTCAGCCGGGTCGGACTGGTTCAGGTGAACTGGTAGTGGCGCTCTGCGGGTGGTCCCATTCACCCCTGCCGGCTCTGTGCCATCCTATTTAGCCACATTTTCTAAGCGCACAGCTGGCTGGGGAATTCTGGAAGTTGAAGTCCACAGGACTTAAAGTCGCCAAGGTTGAGAAACACTGATATAGAGCCTAGACACAGAACTCACTTCTCACTTACAAAGGAGTAAGTCTTAGTCAACCCTTAATATTAGAAGCAAGATTGAGAACCGAGGTAGATGGCTTTTGAGGCCCCTTCCAAATTATGCCTTTATCCCTTTTTGTGCTTTAGATTGTAATAATCATCTGCTGCAGGGATCTTTCCTGCTATTTTAGAGGCAAGCCTTGCTTTTGAAATGCAGATGAAATATGGGTTTCATTATATTTATTTTGTGGATGTAACTTTTAAGGTTGTTTTGTACAGCACGAACAGATGGAAGTTGTAAATGGTTCACTGGAAGTGGTTCAGTTTATGAAAGCAGTTAGTCGTTTCCCTGCTTTTTGTTCACTCGGCTGGTCTGTCAGTCTGAAAATGCAAAAAACCCTTTCGGTTTTCTTTTTTTTTTAAAGTGAGTTTGGGAAATTTGATTGAGAAAAGTGGTGCAATAACTCGGGCTTCTTGAATGTCGCAATTCATTGGGTGTTTATTCCCAGCATTTATCCATAATGTCCTCGGCTTCCTCCAGCAGATGTTGAAAAAGACTGAAATCTATTAGAAATCTGGAGAAAGTCCTTTCAGAGGAATTGATAGCTTTTATAAAACCATTAACTCTCTTTTGATCCTCTTGTTCCCTGATGCTCTCTTTTTAAAAGGCCTAAGTAACCACATTCTGCAATTTGTGTAATTTAACAGGGTTTATAAAAAATCCCTGTGGCTGATGTGAAAGGATCCGTTGGGTATGCCTCTTAGCATTATCAGTCATTTAATCGCAATGAAGTGAAAATCATTAAAAAAGTCAGCTACATCCTGCATTGTGCTCACTTTTTTAAGATCCCTTTCTCTTTCTGTTGTCTTTGAACTTTTAGGATTAAAAGTCATTTTATCCAATGGAATTAATAAATCAGAAGTCTCCTGCAGTAATATTCATTGTAGAAGCATACTGTATAAACTTGAGAATACTTTTCAAAAGAGCCTGAGGAAAATGATTAAGTAGAATCATTAATTGTTGTATCTTAGTTCTGTTTAGGGGTGCGGTGGCTCAGTGGCTAAGACACTGAGCTTGTCGATCAGAAATGTCGGCAGTTCGAATCCTTAGCACCGCATAACGGACTGAACTCCTGTTACTTGTCCCAGCTTCTGCCAATCTAGCAGTTCAAAAGCATGTAAAAATGCAAGTAGAAAAACAGGATCCACCTTTGGTGGGAAGGTAATAGTATTCTGTGTGCCTTTCGTGTTTAGTCATGCCGGCCACATGACCACAGAGACGTCTTCGGACAGCGCTGGCTCTTTGGCTTTGAAATGGAGATGAGTACCACCCCGTAGAGTGGGGAATGACTAGCACATATGTGCAAGGAGAACCTTTACCTTTAGTTCTGTTAATATTTTTATTACGTTTTATTAATAGTATTGCTTAAATGAATACATACATATATACATACATACATACATACATACATACATTTGTTTTCTGAGGTTTTCGCGGGTGTTAGTATGTAGGTCTTTGGTTATTTGGGTTTTCTCCCGCCTAAAATTGGAGGTGAAACACAAACCCCCAACCAGTCAGAACACAGCCAAGCTCCCACCCAATCAGCTCAAACCCCCACTGGCAGTTAAAAGGAAGAAAC